TCTCTCTCTCTCTCTCTCTCTAAAATTGGGATGAAACTTGGTAGAGTAGGTAGGTTTGGTAGGAATGGATGAGGGATCTGGAAATAGATGGATGGATGGATAGGGCGGGGAGGAGAGAGAGGTTGAGACAGCAAGCAAGCAAGCAAGCAAGCAAGCAAGCAAGCAAGTTAAGGAGTAAACCTGATAAAAATTTCAGTTGTCAGAAATGACGTTGCCCGCTCGCCCGTTTCAGCCTGTTCAAGGCAAAGAAGGAAAAAAAAAAAACAGAAGGAAAAAAAAAAAGAAGGTTACGGAAGAGGAGGAAGGATGTGCTGGTAGGCGTTAGGCGTACTGGTGAGAAGAGAGGGAAACCCTGATCTGCGACACGCCATAGAAAAAAAAAAAATCCAACAAGAAAAAAAGGAAAAAATCCGAAGACAAAAAAAAGTGTAAAAAAAAATGAGGGGGCGGGGAAATCGGCGGTGGGCGGGGGAAGAGGGCGAAGCTAATCGGATCGGATGGCGCGAAAGACCAGATCTCGTTCGGACCGAATGAAGAAGTACGTAGTAGAAGGGATGAACAAGTACTACTACTACTATCTGCATGCATGCATGCGTGCATGGATATGTGTATAAAATCCTCTACAGTACGAAGTACTGTACCGGTACTACTAGGTACTACGTACGTACCGACAAAGTATACCTAGCAAATACTGTTTATCCCTACCGAGTATATCTACTACGTACCTACTCCGTAATCCTCTTCTAACGCGTTCCTTGCAAGAGGCCAAAAAAGAAGAAAGAAAAGAAAAGAAAAGAAAAGAAAAAAAGAGAAACTTTGATGACGTAAATAAATGGATTGAAAGAGAGAGCCTGACAGAGAATGGTAAGTACAACTCTCGCGAGCATCTGCTTCCAGGGCTCTCCGGAGGAAAGATACAGTATCTACCTACTCATGCAAATCTGCACTCGATACGAGACCAGTTCGCAGCCTGCCACCTGCGGACATCAGATGCCGAAGTGATTTACTCGTCCCAATGCTGCTAGGTATCTAGTACCGGAGGTCTGTAACGGAAGGGAGATCCTGAAGAGGGAAATCCGAACGTGATGCCCCCCGGAGCTACTACGTACTACTACGTACTACTAGGTACGGTACGGTAGGTAGCTTGCACTTTTCGCTACTGGGCGACTACCTACCTAGGTGCTAAGGTGGGGGGTGTGCCGTCTGCGCAGGCGCGGAAGCAGTCCTTCGTGGAATAAACCGGTGGGTGGGGTCTCCCGCAGCGGTGGGTAGCGCACGTGCGAAGAAGGAGACGGAAAAAACGGTGTGGCAACCGGTAGGTCCCTAGCTGCTTGATTTTATCTCTGGTCTACCGTAGAGTGTGTCCTACCAAACGGGAAAGAGAAGGAAGAGGAAGAAGGAAAAGGAAGGACGGTTTCCGTTTCGCATCGAAGCTTAGCATTTTTTTTCTTTTTCTTTTTTTCTCGTTTCGA